TAGGTATGTATATACGTACTAGAAAACATTTGCCACCTTTAACTTTATTAGAATAGGTGGCTGAGCAGTACAAATTTCATTCTGCTGCAGTCGACTGTAGTTCGAGAATGTTTTCTCTGGGATATCTCTATTTTAGTTAAAGGGACACTGTCAATGGATGACATGCGCAGTAACAGTCTCGCCTCTAACGGACTTTGAAAGTATTACCTTCACGGTAAATCGTTTTGTGGTGCTTTTGTCACACTTTGGAATATTCTAGATCTGTTTACGTTTACGAGCTGATTTATGTCGCGCCAACTTGGAGTCATAAACTTGAAAACATTAGCCTAATGTTTTCAAGTTTATTTGCGCATGCGTGCCATTGACAGTGTTCCTTGAAGAACTAGCTGTAAGCACCCTTACTGGAATGGTGTTTCCCAAGGCACAGACTAATTCGTTCTTTAATCTACAATCTTCAATTACTTTCCTAGTAACGGTGTTGGACGTAGTGGTACATTCTGTGGCATTGCCTCAACACTTGAACGCGTTAAACAGGAACAAGTACTGGACGTGTTTCAGACAGTCAAGTCTGTACGTGAAAGCAGAAGAGGAGCAGTCGAAACTTTGGTAAGCGGCCTACAATAGACGTCTGAAGCTTTTAAGTCGTGTGCACACAATGCATTGTGCGATGTGTTTGGGATTACTTTTGAAATTATGTCAGATTTTAATGTTTTAACCAATGAGATGGATGGATTATACAATACACAATTAGCACCTTCATGCATTCCATGACCGTTTGCTTGCCTGCTTCTTACTCAGACCATTACTTAATGTAAAACGTGCGCTTTTGTTCTCAGGAAATCCCKCAATTTCGTCATAATCCAAGATGGCGGCCATTTTGATAATAGTATTGRATAGCTGGCATATTACTGAGCTATGCCTAACAATGGCACATAATTCGGACTGTACATATAAATCGAACTTTATACTCATTCATGTTTTTTTTCCTACAGGATCAATACAAGTTCTGCTATACTATTGTACAGAATTACCTTCAGTCATTCAGTAATTACGATAACTTCAAAGGAAAATAAAACGCATCAGCACAAAGTGACATCTTTATCAAGAATTTGAGAAATGCGTTTATTGTAGCCGCCTGCACTGCACTGGTTGAGCTGTCGACATAGACTACTCTGCTTACACATTGTCCATGAATACAATCTAAATCGTTTTGGTATTTTTTAAAG